GCCCCCCAAAACACAGTAAGACACATCAAATTCGTGAAAACAGTGTTAAACAGAAAACCTTAAGAATGATCAGAAGAAAAAACACATATTACCTAAAGAGCAACAAAGAATAATCATAGACTTCTTATCAGAAACTATGCAAGCCAGAGCAATGGAAAACATCTTTAAATTGCTGAAAGTAAATTCCAACTTAAAATTCTGTGATCACCAAAAATAATTAAAGGCAAAATGAGGATTTTTTTTTTCAGAATAGCACAAAAGGTGGTGTGGAGAGTGGAAGTATGTTGTAAGTTTCTTACCTTATTATTGAGGTTGTATAATAACCTGCTATAGGTTAACATAGCAACCAGTGTGAACATTTTCAAATGTAAGTCAAATCATGTCAACCCTCTGCTTAAAAGCCTCCAATGGCATCCCTCTTCACTCAAAGTGAAAGCTAAAGTCTACAACATCCTGTGAGGTTGGGTATAATCTGAAACTAACCCCAATTCCCACTACCACTGTGACCTCAATTAATAATACATTGGCAGAAATTCATGTTTATGACTCTTCTTTCTTTTATAAAGTTTCATCATAATTCATGATTATCTTTTCTTTGGAAATTATGAAATATTCTTTTTAAGATTTAAGGCACATGCCAAATAATACCAGTTTCTTTTTCCTTGTCTATAATTCACTCTAACATAACAAAGAATTTCTTGCAAGTTCCCATCACTCCCACTTTGCCAAATCATCCCTTCCTCCTAGAATTGAGGTCAGAGCAGAAGTTCCTGCTTGTTGCCTTAATTTTCAAAATGATTTTTAAAAAATGGAAACAAAATACCTTAAAATCACATTCTACTTGAGCAGACTTCAGCAGCTGCCAATATATTGCACTCCTGTGATAATTTTGAGTTGTCCTAATTTTACAACCTGTATTAGGCAATTATAATCTATCTGAGCATCTTTTCGTGTATCTATTTGCCATCAATATAGCTTCTGTAGTTAAGTGACTGTTCAAATCTTTGGCCTAATTTTTAAGTCAGTTATGTTTTCCTATTATTGAGTTTCCAGTGTTCTTTATATATACTTGATACAAGTCCTTGATCAGATACATGATTTACAAATATTTCTTCAAGTGTGGGCATATCTTTTTTTATTAAATTCAAATTAGTTAACATATAGTACAGTATTGGTTTCAGGAAGTATAGGGCATATCTTAACAGTCTCTTGTGAAGAATAGAAGTTCTCAATTTTCATACATCCAATTTATCAACTCATCAATACCGCAAACCACCAGGCACACTGTATTTTGTATTTTTATAATTTATATTTTGGTTTATTATTCATTGCAGTGAGGGAGAATACTTACCATGGGGAACCATGGGAAGTCTTGGTGAGAGGATGTTAGAAAACCTATTATGGGGTTTGGGCTTTGGTTGGGTAATTTGGGCTTTGGTAGGTACAAGTTTATAATTGGGTATCTTACTGAATCTTATTTAAAAGGAGAGCAAACCAGAACGAGGATGAAGCTGCACTTGCTGAAGAAGTAGTAATTATTCATTTTAGATGGGAGAAGGGAATGTTCAATATTTTGTGGGTTGTATAGTGACCTTGTTTTTTTTTTTTAAAGATTTATTTATTTATTTGAGAGAGTGTGTGCAAGCGTGCATGCGCGAACAGGGGGAGGGGCAGAGGGAGAGAGATATAGAATCCTTAAGCAGACTCCCCGCTAAGCACAGAGCTCCACTCAGGGCTTAATCCCCAGACCCTGAGATCATGACCTGACCCAAAATCAAGAGCTGGCTGCCTAATGGACTGAGCCACCCAGGCAACCCAATAGTGACCTTGTTTTTGTCTCACTTTATCGTGGTGTCAGGGTGACTTTGTCTGATGTTGGTGTTTTGTGAGATTGTTTATGTCTGACAGGAGAGCAACATTAACTAGTTGTGAGCATCAGGCTAGCTTTGTAATAACACTGAGGACTTGCTGTAAGTGTCAGACCAGTTCCCAGATGTAAGAAGCTCCTTTTTTCTTTTTTTCTCTTATGGATCATGATTTTGCTGTTAAATATAATACCCAGGGTCACAAAGGTTCTCTTCTATGCATTTTTTCCCTTGAAGTTCTGTAGTTTCACTTTTAGGTCAATAATCTTTGAGTTTGTTTTCATATACAATGCTAGGCAGAGATAAAAGTTTTTTCCTTCTCCTTTTTCTCCCCTTCCTCCTTCTTTTCCTCCTTTTTGCCTACAGATACCCAATTAGTCCAGCTTTATTTACTGAAAAGACTATCTTTACTGAATAGGCTTTGTCAAGAATCAGTTGCCAATATACATGTGTGGGTTTGTTTTTGGAATCTCTTATTCCATGGATCTACTTGTTTATTATTTTTTTAAAAAGATTTTATTTACTTAAGAGATAGAATGAGATAGAGAGAGAGCATGAGAGGGGGTAGGGTCAGAGGGAGAAGCAGACTCCCCGCTGAGCAGGGAGCCGATGCGGGACTTGATCCCGGGACTCCAGGATCATGACCTGAGCCGAAGGCAGTCGCCCAACCAACTGAGCCACCCAGGCACCCTCCACTTGTTTATTTTTGACACCAAAACCACAGTCTTGATTACCACAGCTTAATAATGAGCCTTGAAGACTCTATGTTATTTTTTTAAAAAGTCATTTTTGATATTTTAGGTACTGTGCATTTTCATGTGAGTTTCAGAGTTAGCTTGCTAATTTCTACAAAAAAGCATGCTGGGATTTTGATTGAGATAGATTTGAATTCATAGATCAATTTGGGGAGAACTGACATCTTAACAATACTGATTCTTCAAAATATAGGAAGCAAAAACTGCTAAAAACGTAAGGTGAAATAAATTAATAATTATAGTTGGATATTTCAGTATCCTTCTCCCAACAATCAGTAAAACATGTACACTGAAAATCAGTAACGATATAGAAGACTTGACCAGTATTACCAACCAGCTTGACCTGATTAACGTTTATAGAACATTCCACCCAGCAACAGAATACACATTTTCAAGTGCACGTGGACCATTTGCTAATATACTACATATTTGAACCATAAAACAAGTCTCAATAAATTTTAAGAGATTGAAGAAGTCATACAAGGTAGGTTCTCTCACCTCAGTGGATTGAAAATAGGGATCAATAGTAGAAAATCCTCAAATATTTGGAAACTAACACACCTCTAAGTAACCTATGGAATGAATAATTGGATTTCTATATACTAGCAACAAGTGGAAATTGAAATTTAAAAACAATTCTATTTACACTATTACAAAAATTATGTAAAATTTAAGGATAACTGTGAAAAAAACTGTAAGACCTGTACACTAAAAACTAGAAAACATCGCTGAGAAAAATCAAAGAAGACCTAAGCAAATGGAAAGACGTGTTAATCTTTAGTGTCTCGTCTTTGTAGCACTAATTTAACTACTCACCTTTTTCCTCTGAGCTTTCTGGTTGTTGGTTGTGAATTTGTTGAATAAGCAACCTTCAAGTAAGTGAACTGTTACTGTATAAAGAAAGTAGATAAAAAAACCCAAAAGTGATTAAAAAGAGGGTTTGGAATAATTTAGTAGTGAGAAACACATCAAAACCTACTCTGACTATAACTGTTATCAGTCAAAATAGAGAGCCCTTCGCGCCCCGTGGACCTGTGGAAATCATTCATGGGAAGGGCTGGCGGAGGGATGGGAGGTGGTGGGATGTTCTCTGCATTGAACATAGGACTAGAAGATTGGCCAAAGTTGTCTCTTTTTTCCCTTTGTGAATTAGTTTAATTTTTCTCTCCTCACCTATGGAGGAGGCATTTCCCCTTTCCCAAAGCCATATTTGATTAAGGTATTTTATATTTCCTTAGTCATCAGCTTTAATGTTAAGCCTCACAAATTTAGAATAAAGAAATTTCGACTTGACATAATGAACATACGGATTTTGGCATATTGCATTTTATTGCTTTCAAATACATAGAATTAAAAAAATGGAACAATAAACAATAGGCCATGTCTAGTGAAGAATTCTATAAACTGGTTAATGAGCACAGGAGGAACATTTAGTCCTTGCTCCTACACCAATGTAGCTTTTAACTCCCTCCTTCCAGCAACTTCTGTCTGCAGTACTCCACGTTAGGAGACATTTTTAAAAATTCTATTTCTGCTTTTCTAAATCCAAGGGCGCAGTACAATTGTCCATTACTCAGATCCCTCCTCCTCCCAGCACCTAGCATGGGATTTCTTTACGTTATCTGTTTTTAAAGCTACTGTTCTAAATCACAATTCGAAAATGTCTCAGTCTAAAATTTAGAGTTCCATTAGGAAGCTTCCTGGACATGTGTTCAGTGCCCACTTCAGGCTCTCCTGTCACCTAAGACAATTTCGTAAATCAAATTCGCGACGTGCTTGGTAGCTGCCTCGGTTCCCTTTTTAACCACGGCCACAGGTTGTGCGGGCGGCCAGGCCTCCGGGAAAAGGCTGGAGCCGCGGAGGAGGAGAGCTGGGCGCCGGGCCCGCCGCGGACACCTGTTTCGGGCGCGGCCCGCGGCGGCGGGAAGAGAGCGCGCGGCGAAGGGCGCGTGTAGGCGAACGCGCACGCACACGCGCGCCCGGCCGCCCCGGGACGAGGAGGGAGAGCGTTTGCAGGAGACGCGGACGTGGGGAGGGGGTCGCCACGTTCTCACAGGCCGCCTGGGTTACATAAGCGAGCGGGGGCGAGGAGGGGTCTTCGCGAGCGCCGGGACTCAGGCCGTGCCCGCCCCGTCCCCGCCTCTGCCCGGGTGGGGTTGTGGCCCTGCGGGACCGGCCGCCCACGCCGCGCGGGGGACACCGCCCCAGCCTTGCGCCCGCCCTTGCCGGTGGTACCCGCGGCCCGGAGCGGCCGCCCCCAGACGCGCGGGGCTCTTGGCGGAGGCGGCGGCCGCGGTTCAGCCGCTGGGCCCCAGGCAGCGGAGCATTCTCTCGCCTAGGCTTCTTCCGTCCGGGCCTACGGCGCCGCAGCCCCGTGGCTATGAGCCCCGAACCGGTCCCGCCGCCGCCGCCGCCCCAATGCCCCGGCTGCGACTGCGGGGAGCCGTTCGCCAAGCGCTTGGAGAAGGGCGACGAGGCCTTCCGCGCCGGCGAGTATGAGATGGCAGCGGAGCTCTTCCGATCGATGCTGGCCGGGCTGGCGCAGCCCGACCGCGGCCTGTGCCTGCGGCTGGGGGACGCGCTGGCCCGCGCGGGCCGGCTCCCCGAGGCCCTAGGCGCGTTCCGCGGCGCCGCGCGGCTCGGAGCGCTGCGGCCCGACGAGCTGGGGGAGCTGGCGGGCAGCCTCGCGTGCGCCCTGGGCCAGCGCGAGTGGCGGCTGCCGGCTGGGAGGCCGGGCCGCGCCCCCGAGGAGCCGCGTGGGGAGCAGCCGGCCTCGGCGCCCGTCGCGCCCGGTGACCTGCTGGGCTGTCCACGCTGCCAGCGGCTGCTCCACAAGCCGGTGACCCTGCCGTGCGGGCTGACGGTGTGCAAGCGCTGCGTGGAGTCGGGGCCGGCCCGGCTGCAGGCTCGGCGAGTCAACGTGGTGCTGAGCGGCCTGCTGGAGAAGTGCTTCCCGGCCGAGTGCCGCGTGCGCAGGCTGGCGGGCCAGGCGCGGGGTCTGCAGCGCCAGCAGCAGCCCGAGGCCGCGCTGCTCAGGTGCGACCAGGCTCTGGATCTGGGTAAGTCGGCCTTGGGAGCTGGCCCGCCCCCCTTGCCTGCCTGTCGAGCAGCAGGGGTGGACGTGGAGAGATTTTTTCAGGCTTAGGGGTTATTTTCTTCCGAAGGTGGTAAGGTCAACCAGCAACCGGGGTGGCTGGTGTCAGGGGCCAGCTGCGCCCCACTGCTCCCATCTTTCGCAGAATCTCCGCATCCTTCCTGAGTAGCTCTGTGAGGCCAAGACTGCCTTTCGCTCCCATCTCCGCTGTCTAGAAGTGGGAGGATGACCAAGTGTTTTTATTTGCCCTGCAGGAAAATGCAAATAACTAACACCCTAGAGGCGCACAAACGGAGTGCCTTGTGATGTGGCAGGATTTGCTCAGGGGGTTTCAGCTAAAGAATCCAGGAAGGATCCCCTTCCATTCTGCTTTTATTACTTGTACATTCTCTCTTAAAGGGCATTAGATGTTGTTATGGTGTGATTAGCTTATTAGTTATATTAACTAGTGTGTGTGTTTAATTTTTAAAATAACTAAAATCTGTGACCAGCTCCAGGCTCTCTCTTACCCCTCCCCCCAACCTGTTAAGAATATGTAATTTAAAAGACCAAACTTCCTTTTGCTACAGGTTATGTATGATTTAAATCACTAGCCAAGAAGACTTGGTTTAATTTTTTGTTACTAAAAGAATCTTGTGTGCTGTAGTCATTATGCATTTTATTTTAAATTTAGAGTTAAGGTTTTCCCTTTTAGAGGGCGCACCTATATTTAAATTGAGGGATTCATTGTTGGAGTAGAGCAGTGAAATTGCGTTTTATATAACAAGTATTCTGTACCATTTTTGCAGCCAATATATCCATACTTTAGCAGGCTGTATATTTTTGAATTTTCATCTATCTTGTTTATGTGTATGTAGCATGGAGCAGCACTGTCCGGTGGAAATACTGTGTAAGCCACATATGTAATTTTAAATTTCTGGTAGCCACATGTAAAAGGTGAAAAGCAGATGAAATTTATCTTAACAATATTTTTTAAACCTATACATCCAATATATTATTTCAACATACCTTCAATGTAAAAAATGGAGATTTTACTAAAAAAATCAAATGCATTGTGTATTTTACATGTACTGCCTATCCCAACTTGGATACAAAATTTTCATCAGAAATACTTCCTTTATATTTCAATTTCATAAAACTTAGAGTTGAAAAAGTAGATTGGCATATTGAAGTTGTTTCAAATTAAAAGTTTTCCACTAGTCAATAGAGTATTAGCTTTTAAATTTAAATTTCAATTAGTTAAAATTAAAAAGTCAGTATCTCGGTTCCTCTGTTGCTGCAGCCCCATTTCAGTTGCCCAGTAGCCACACGTATCTAGTGGCTACTGTCTTAGACAGTAGAAGTATAGAACTTTTAAAAACAGTTGTTGGGGAGCCTGGGTGACCCAGTCAGTTAAGCGTCTGACTCTCGATTTTGGCTCAGGTCATGATCTAGGGTCCTGAGATCAAGCCCAGTGGCAGGCTCCCTGCTTAGTGGGGAGTCTGCTTCTCTCTCTCTCTCTCTCTCTCTCCCCCCCGCCGTGCCCCTCTCCCCTCCGGCCCCTTCCCCTGCCTATGCTCTCTCTAAAATAAATCTTATAAATAAATAAAAACAGCTGCTGGAAATGAAGATCACAATACAAACTGTTGGAGAAGATGGAGAAAATGAGAACTATCATATGCTGCAGATGAGTCTGCAAATTATACACCTGGAAAATTGTTTAGTAGTACCTGAAATGTTAAATATGACCTTTGGCTGAGCAGTTTCAATAAGGTTCACATATATGTGCACTGAAAGAATGTACACGAATATGCAAGAGTTTATATCCTTATGTAGAGATATAGCCCTGAAGTGGAAGCAACCCACATCTTCAATAAGAATGCAATGAGTGACTGTATTATGATGTCTTTTGGAATACTATACAGAAAGAAAGTAAACCAGCTACAGTTACTACAATGTGGACAAATCACAAACATAATGTTGGGTGAAAGAAACCAGACTCAAAAGCATTTTTACCGTGTGAGTCTATTTATCTCTAAATCCAAACAGGCAAAATTATATAGCATATTGTGAGGGCAGTGGTTACCTTTGGGAAAAAAAATATTAGCAGATTGAGTCCAGTGATACACTTAAAACACATCACGGTCAAGTAAAATGTTCATTTAATCCTTGTGTATCAACCAATGTAATTCACTACATCTACAGAATAGAGAAAAATCATATGACCACAATGAGATACCACCTCACACTTGTGAGAATGGCTAAAATTAACAACTCAGGAACCAGCAGATGTTGGTGAGGATGTAGAGAAAGGGGAACCCTCCTACCCTGTTGGTGGGAATGCAAGCTGGTGCAGCCACTCTGGAAAACAGTATGGAGGATCCTCAAAAAGTTAAAAATAGAGCTACCCTATGATCTAGCAATTGCACTACTAGGTATTTATCCAAAGGATACAAAAATAGTAATTCAAAGGGGGCACATGCACCCCAATGTTTACAGCAGCGATGTCCACAATAGCCAAACTATGGAAAGAGCCCAGATGTCCATCGACAGATGAATGGATAAAGGCAACGGTATATATATGGTGGAATATTATTCAGCCATCAAAAAGAATGAAATCTTGCCATCTGTAATGACATAGATGGAAATAGAGGGTATTATGCTAAGCGAAATAAGTCAGAGAAAGAAATACCGTATGATTTCACTCGTGGAATTTAAGAAACAAAACAGATGAATATAGGGGAAGGGAAGGAAAAGTAAAATAAGATAAAAACAGAGAGGGAGGCAAACCATAAAAGACTCTTAACTATAGGAAACAAACAGGGTTGCTGGAGGGGAGGTAGGGGAAGGGGGAAGGGGGGAAGGGATAGGGGGAAGGGATAATTGAGGGATAGGCATTAAGGAAGACCCTTGATGTAATGAGCACTGGGTGTTATATGCAAGTGAAAGAATGACAATTCTGTCCTGAAACTAATAATATACTGTATGTTAACTAAATTGAATTTAAATTTACAAAATCTGTAGCAATCATCGTAATGATAAAATACTGAATGTTTTCCCACTGAAGGAAAAGCTGACAAGGGTGTTCAGTGCCATCACTGCCATTTTGCACTGTATTAAGATTCTAGCTGATGCAACAAGGAGAAAAGAGGTATTGAGATTGGAAAAATAAAACATTATTTGTAGATGACATGTTGCAGTACATGGGAACTTCAGAGGAATATTTGAACTATTAGAAATTATAAGTGAATTATCAAGGTTGTTGACTATAAGGTTGATACAGAAAGATCAGTGATAATTATATATACTTAGTAAAAAACAAAATAGAAAACCCATTTATGTAACCAAAAAATTCTTCGGAGTAAATCTTGAAATACCTGAAAGTTGTTCAAGACCTCTATGCTGAAAATACAAAACATTTCTGCAAGAAATTAAATAAGCGGAAAGGTGTATGATTTCCATGGATTGCAAAACTCAGTATTGATAAGATGTCAGTTCTGTGCATATTGAACGATAGATTCAGTGCATTCTCAGTCAAAATCTCAGCTAATGGTTTTGGTAGAAGTTGATGAATGGCCAACACAATAATGAGGAAAAATAACAAAGCTGGAGAACTGATACTGCCAGACACCGAGGCTTAGTATAATACAGCTGTAGTAATTAGTACAGAGTTAGTTGTATTGGCCCAAGTATAGACACATAGAAAAGGACTCTCGTGTATAGTCACTTGGTTTGTTACAAAGATGCCAATAGAGTTAAATGGGGGAAAAAGTCTTTTAAATAGTCTAAGTCTGTTGCTCATCCATTTGGGAAAAAATGAACCTAGATGCCCATTGCACATCATACATGGAAATTATCAGAGATCTAAAAAAAATCAGAATATTTTCATGAACTTAGGGTAGGTGATACTTTTTAAGACAAAAAGCATAACCATACAGGAAAAGATAGATAAATTTGATTATTTTATTTTTTTAAAAAGATTTTTAAATTTATTTATTTGACAGAGACACAGCGAGAGAGGGAATACAAGCAGGGGGAGTGGGAGAGGGAGAAGCAGGCTTCCCGCTGAGCAGGGAGCCCAATGCGGGGCTCAATCCCAGGACCCTGGGATCATGACCTGAGCCAAAGGCAGATGCTTAATGACTGAGCCACCCAGGTACCCCGATAAGTTTGATTTAATTAAAATTAATAACTTCTGTTCCTCAGAGATCCCCCAGAGTGAAAAGATGATGGGTATTTGTAATATATATCTAAATGAGAATGTCGATTCAGAATATTGAAAAGAATGCCTATAGTTCAAGAACAAAAAAGGAAGTCTGTCTAAATAGGCAGAGTTGAACAGATGCTTTGTAAAACTAGGTATCAAAATGGGCAGTAAATATATGAAAGAGTGCCCAATGTAATTACTGATCAAATGCAAATTTAAACTAAAGATATTAAAGCATACCTGAAAATGAAAAAGAGTAACCATATCTAGCTTTGGCAAGTATTGGAAGCAATCGGAACTCTTACATTGCTGGTGAAAGTGCAAATTGGGGCAAGTTGAATATGTTTGGAAGTACCTACTAAAGCTAAATGTAAACATAACTTCTGGCACAGTATTTCCACTTTTGAGTATATGCCAAATGGAAATTAATGCTTATGCCCAAGAAAAGACATAGAAGAATCTTCATTGCAGCTTATATATATATATATATATATATATATTTGCCAAAAACATTTGGATAACAACCTGTCAGTAGAATAAGTATTTAAATCAAGTCATACAGTGTATTATGCAGCAGGGTTTTTTTAATTTTTATTTTATTATGTTATATTAGTCACCATACATTACATCATTAGTTTTTGATGTAGTGTTCCATGATTCATTGTGTATAACACCCAGTGCTCCATGCAGAACATGCCCTCCTTAATACCCATCACTGAGCTAACCCATCCGCCCACCCCCCTCCCCCCTAGAACCCTCAGTTTGTTTTTCAGAATCCATAGTCTCTCATGGTTCGTCTCCCCCTTTGATTCCCTCCCCGCTTCATTTTATCCTTCCTACTATCTTGTTTCAGAGATACAGGTCTGTGATTCATCAGTCTTACACAATTCACAGCGCTCACCATAGCACATACCCTCCCCAATGTCTATCACCCAGTCCCCCCATCCCTCCCACCCCCCACCACTCCAACAACCCTCAGTTTGTTTCCTGAGATTAAGAATTCCTCATATCAGTGAGATCATATGATACTTGTCTTTCTCTGATTGACTTATTTCTCTGAGCATCATACCCTCTAGTTCCATCTACCTCGTTGCAAATGGCAAGATTTCGGGGTTTTTTGATGGCTGCATAATATTGCATTGTATATATATACCACATCTTTATCCATTCATCTGTTGATGGACATCTTGGCTCTTTCCATAGGCAGCAGGTTGTTTTTTGTTTTTTTTTTTTAAAGACATACAGCACTATGGAGAAATCTCACAGAATGATAATGACAGATACAAAAGAGTACATTCTATTCATATAACCCCATGTATAAGTTCAGAAACAGGTGAAAGTAATTCATGTTGATAGAAGTCAGAATGGTGGTTACCTTCAGGAAAGGTGTACTACCTGGGAAAGTGCAAAGGAGCTTTCTTAGGTCCTGATCTGGGTAGTGATCACTCAGGTGTATATGTATATAAAAGTTCAAGATACACATTTATGATTTGTAGCCTTGACTTTGTAAGTCCTACATCATTTTGAACAAATAAACCATGAGGAGTACTGCCATTTATTCTTTCTATTCACCAGGACCACTACTTAGCTGACATTGCTTTGTGTATCAAGTCATTCAGCTCTTCATAAATAACACTTGTACAGTTCTCTACTTCTCATCACTGCCCACTCATTTGACAGATCTTACAGTTTTAACTCTAGCTCCCAGCATGACAATGACCCTAGGTTGCAGTTGGAGGGGAACAGTCTTTGATTAATTCTAAACACAAATGTAGAGAGTAGACTATTTCTTCTTTTCCTCACAAAGCCTGGTTCTCAAACTGTACTCTGACTCCTTTCCCCATACAGGGTTAATTGATCAACTGGATATTTTTGTCAGTTTCTTGGAAGGTGCACACGTGTGTTTTTCTTCCATAAGCTGTCTCCCCACAAATAATTTTAAGGTGCTTTACCTCTTCCATTTATTTTTTGTGATTCCTCCATAAATTCTCTCAGTTTTATTAAGCTTAAGGCTTAATGCTTAGGAAATGTGTAGAGATTTATTTGAAATGTTTTAAAAGATTAAATTATGAAGTTCTGGCTTCATAAATGGATTGCCAAATGGTGGAAGTCAACAGAGAAAACAGTTTGATTCATTCAGTGTCTGGATGGGAAGTGACTGTTTTGGACTTCAGTAAAAGTAGCCTTTAGAATGTGAGAAGTAGAGGCTTAACTGCCTTCATTAGAGAAGAATGATTAAAAATAAATGTAAATGAAGAGTGTTTTTAACTCCAAAAATTTTGTCAAGATCAATTAAGTTAACACAAGTGTAAGCAAAGAGATAATGAAGAAAACATTAGTGAAACAGAAAAAAATTATGTTGGTTAAGAAGTCAGAAGCTGGTTCATTACAAAGACCAATAAAAGAAACAAATGTTTGGCAAATGTGATGAAGAAAAAGCAAAGCACAATTAGGATCAGGAATGAAAAAGAAGCACAATTGCAGATATAAAAGAACATAACAGATTTTAAAGCCTATATAAAAAGGACAATTTTAAGGAAACTATAAATTATCAAAATTGACCCAAGAAGAAGTAAAAGCCTGACATTGACCAATAACCACAAACAAAATACAAGTGCTACTCAGGGCTTTTTCTTTTGAAAAAGACACTAAGGTCAAGCAAATTTTAACAAGCTTTCAAGGAAGATTAACTTTCATCTTATTTCAGATCGTGGAGAGATACGGGAAATTTTTCATTTAGTTTTCTAAGATTAGTGTAGTTTTGATACTATAATCAATTAAGCTTTGACAGGAAAAAAATTACAGGCTAGTCTTACTATCTACATAGTTGTCAAAATCTTAAATTTCTTAGTATCTGAATCCAGCAATATAGTAAGACTTAAGATCAAGATGAGCTTATCCCAAGAATAGGATGTTTCAGTATTAGGCAAATTGTTCAATGTAATTCCCTATAAGGACAGATTTAAGGAGATAAACTCCAAGTAATCTCTCTCCTGCTGAAAGAGCATACTATAAAATTCAGCACCCACTTGTTATAATGCCTTCTTAGAAAACTAGGAATAGAAAGAAACTTAACTAATTTGATAAATATCCTCTGTCAGGAGCTTACAGTAAACATATTTCATGTTAAAATATTCCACATGTCCTTTTTTAAATTCAAGAATAAGAGAAGAAAAATGTCTGCTCTCACCACTGTTACTTCAGTGTGGGAATGAAAAGAAACACAAGGAATAAAACCTCGCATGCCAGAGTCAAAGCTGATTGTTTTCACATAATATGGTTGTTTAGAGTATTCAAGAGAATCAACTCTGGCAAAGTAGGAACAAGATGGGAGATCTTCATTCTCACCCACATTTGCAGCAGGTGTATTTCTCAAGCTCAAACTATAGTTCTAGCAGCATTTTTTTTTTGAGATTTCCAAAAGTCTCTAAAGTTTATTTCTGTATTTGAAAATGTATTTACTTGTGCATTTGAGGAACTTTTACTTAGTCTTCAGTTGGAAATGATTAATCTGTAATTATGTTTACTATATGACATACTACAGAGACAAATATGAGAAGAATCTAATAGAATTCTATAAAGAACTTATAAGCAATAAAATGCTCAATTTAAAATCATGTGCTTGTGAATTGACATCCGTATTTCATATTCCAAGATGAAAAACATAAAATCTCATTACAGATCATAACCAGCACATGAACATTTTCAATTTATTTTGATGATAGGGGACACTAACTTTGAACTTTAAGGAAAATGTTGTCCCTTCCCCCAAAGAATTCCATTCTTCTATTTAGTAGACCTGTATTACAAAAAAGTACTAAATTATTAGTTATTTTTTAATTTTGCCAATAAAAATTTTGTGAAAATTTGTTTTCTTGTTATATAAGTACCTGTACAATAGCCTCAAGTTTCTTCCTGGCCTACAAAACCTAAAATACTTACTGTTTGGTTTTTTGCAGAAAAAAGTTGTTGATCCTTACTCTAACCAGTCCATGTCATTTTAAAAGATTCAATGTTTATTGTTAGATTCTCCATTTCTGCCACATCTTTGCTCATTTCCCACCTTTTTTCCTTGTCATACCATCTCTCTATTACACATATGTAGCAATAACAGAGTCCTAAGTAGCGCCCCCATGTCTTGATGTAATATCCTTTAGCATGAGTTCTATTATGCACACTTGCCCACTTCCCTACATAAACTAGACGTGGTGGCATTTGGAAAGTACCAAGTGGCTAGTTTGAGAGAGAGTCAAGGTCTAGGTTCTGGAGCAAATTGAAATGGGTATTAGGTAGAGAAATGAGAACACATTAGTTACTTAGAATATTTATCAATTAAAATGCATGCTGTAGCTCTATTGGAAAGATCCTGCAATGAGCATAGGTAGAGTGAACCAGGTCCCAGCAGGATGAAAATGGCTGTGATGGTTCTGCTTTCATAAGCTCTGGCTTTGTCACCTTTCCATGGTACCTTGCCAAGTCAAGGACTTGCATACTACTTATCAGCTCATAGAGTCACTCTTGGCTTCTATGTAGCGAAGCTTATCTCCATAGTCTCATATGAGCAGTTCTCAAGCTCTCTTCTGTTTGAGGAAGTTTTTTTCCCTTTCCTTTCTCACTTAAGAGAACATACTGTAGGGGCGCCTGGGTGGCTCAGTCATTAAGCGTCTGCCTTCAGCTCAGGTCATGATCCCAGAGTGCTGGGATCGAGCCCCGCATCGGGCTCCCTGTTCCGCGGGAAGCCTGCTTCTCCCTCTCCCACTCCCCCTGCTTGTGTTTCCTCTCTCGCTGTGTCTCTCTCTGTCAAACAAATAAAAAAAAAAAAAAGAACATACTGTAGGTACATTTATAATGATAAGTCCACATCCATGCAGTTGTATAAGAAAACAAATTATACATTCTTTTGTTTCTTGAGTATGAATTTCCTTGTATACTTTCAAGAAAGTTATTTTATTTATTTTTTAAAGATTTTATTTATTTATTTGACAGAGAGCACAAGCCGGGGGATTGGCAGGCAGAGGGAGAGGGAGAGGGAGAAGCAGGTTCCCCACTGAGCAAGGAGCCCGATGTGGGACTCGATTCCAGGACCCTGAGATCATGACCTGAGCTGAAGGCAGACGCTTAACCCACTGAGCCACCCAGGCGCCCCTCAAGAAAGTTATTTTAAATCTTTTTTAATACCTAGTTATAGCATTAAGATGATTCAGCATTTACTCATTATTATTGCAGATAATGTTGTGCCTAGTGTGTTCGGCAGTCTGTTTTTCTTGGTGTGTTTTGAAGTCATGTTAATACTCTTTCTGTTTTCCTGAGAGAAGCTATGTAAAATATACTTCTCAAGCTATTAAACCACGTATGATTTGAGGGAGTAAGTATTTATTTTGCCTTTATGTTTATTTTCCAATTTAATATTTTTAGTGACTTAAAGATTTATTTTTAAATGTAGTCATTTTAATTTTTTTCTCTTGCCCATGTCTTTCAGCTCCTAGAGATAATTCATTATTGCTGCTGCGAGCAGAGTTATATTTAACCATGAAGAACTATGAGCAGGCTCTACAGGATGCCAATGCCGTTTGTCAGAATGAACCTCTCTTGACTAAGGTATTTGACTAAGGTATTGGTTGGCTTTGGAGATAATAAATGTAAGTTTATGGGATTTTCTTAAGAATAAATGAAGATGATTGTGATTAGGTACCTACACACAGTGTACATTTCCCTCATGATAGTAGTCTAAATGTAGCAATCCACTTCATAATAAACCAACTCAGTTTAAAAGACCAAAAAGTCTCCCAATGGGATTTAGTTAAGAAACAGTAATTTAGATTACTTTTAGGAGATATTTAGCTGAGTAATATGCCTTTTTAGTAAACAAATAAATACATAAACACAATGATAAAATTGTATAATTTGTGAGTAAAGGGAAATGTTTAAAATTACACGTTAGTAAGATCATATAATAATCATGATTAACAGTTGGGCCCTAATATGCATGGAACATACAAATGTTGTTAGTGAAAGGATGAATGTTTTGTATGTATTTTGGAATAATTTTAGTCTGTGTTGGAAAGGTCTAATATTTCTTTCTGTGATGACACAAAATAAGCTTTGTTAAAATAATAATGATAGCTTAAGTTGTCACTGAAGATTAAAAAGCCAAACAATAAAAGTTGTAGCTTTTTTCATGAATCTCTGGATTTTAAAACCCAAAAGAGATTTTAAAGTTTTAATGAACTTGTAATGAAATTAACATGGATCACATGCTCTATTAGCTAGTAAGTAAAAATATTTTGTCCCTCTATATTACTGTTTATCATTTTTGTTTTAGAAGCATTGAAGAGGCATTAACCCATGTTAATAGAAAAGATGGACTTCTTTCCTTCCTTCTATCCAACCTTCCATTCTTTAAAAGAAAAATGTTTTCAGCTTAGATTAAGTGTTAAATTGGAATTGGGGATGAGCCTAAGGATGGGAAACAAATTTTTGTTGGACCAAGCCCAGAAATCTGTTTTTTGCTTGCTTGCTTCACTAAAAATATTTTCTCTTCCTTTTTCTGATGACTTTTCTCCTATCCCTTGATCTATTAATCTTCTAAAGTAATTTCTGTCAGTAATGATTGAGCCTTAATTGTTATGAATTATAAGTTTAGTATTTCTGACTGACAGAAATTGTATTGCCCTATGAGGCTGTATTGCCCTATGAGGCTAGTTTCTGTATTGCCATATGAGGCTAGTTTCTTCTCCACAGTACTGATTTTTTGAGGTAAAAACTTGGCAGTGTGTCTGTGATGAAAGACAGGCTTAGTGGGCGCCTGGGTGGCTCAGTTGGTTAAGCGGCTGCCTTCGGCTCAGGTCATGATCCTGGAGTCCTGGGATCAAGCCCCACGTTGGGCTCCCTGCTCAGTAGAGAGCCTGCTTCTCCCTCTCCCTCTGCCTGCCTCTCTGCCTACTTGTGCTGTCTCTGTCAAATAAATAAAATCTTTAAAAAAAAAAAAAAAAAGAAAGACAGGCTTAGTTACTACAAAGTTACATCGAGAACTTTCACTGTAAGAGAGCCAGCAAATGAATTATCAGCTTTTGGGATTTGGGTTATGTCTTTAGGGTTTATTGCAAATCTATGGACCTCAATTCTTGATAATGCCTAGTGAAGAACAGCTTTAGTGGAAGTATACCCTGATAAATCAATTTAAGGTAATGAAGGATAGAAATTTGTTTCCAGGTTAATGTTATAACTAAAGGATTAGGGCAGAAGTGACATTGGAAAGTAAGTTGAAAGGACTGAGGGAAGGATGAAGTTGTCCAACTGTGGCTGAGATGATACGGAAGCACTTGTAGAACCAACTTTGAGTCTTCAGTTGGGGACCACTATACCAGTGTGTTTTGTCCAAGCAAACCATCCTTTCAAGCCATCTGTCATGGCTGATACTGATTCACAACTTTTGGTGCAAATGGAGATAAGTCAGTGCTAACAAAATATTTGCCCATATCCAGAAATATAAATAGGCATGTGATAAGTTTGATCTTATTCAAATGGGTAAGCATACCTGTGCTTTTTAATGCTCATACATTCCTATCCTGGTAAAATAAGTCTCAATAGATTTCAAATTATTGAAATCTTGAAGAGTATGCTCTCTGACAATAGAATGAAAAGAGTAATTGATGATAATAAAACATCCAGGAAATCCTTAAACTTGTTATTTAATTAGATTACCTCTAAAAATCCATGGAACCAAGGAGAAATCACAAAGGAAACTAGGAACTATTTTGAAATCACTGATAATAAAAGCCCATTACATCTAATTCGTCATATGCGGCTAAAACCGTTCTTTGAGGGAAATTTATAACATTAGTAAATTATTAAAGAAGTAAGGTCTCAAAAGAGTGATCTGTTTCCTCCTTAAAAAACTAAGAAGAGCAAATTAAAATAAAAGTAAGTAGAAAGAAAGAAATAATATAAGAGATAGGAGTCAATACATAGAAAACAGAAAAACAATAAAGAAAAGTCAATGAAACAAAACCTGTTTTGAAAAGATCAGTGAAATTTATATACCTCACAAGACTAATCAGGAAAAAAGAGAAAAGGTACAGATTACTAATATCAGGAATGAAAGAGGAGATATCACTATATATCCTACAGACATTAAAAGGATAAAAAAGGAACCATTTTATGAACAAATTTATACCAGTACGTTCAACAACCTAGAAGTTAACAAACTCCTTGAAATATACAAACTACCAGTGTTCATTCAAGAAGAAATAGAGAACTTCAATAGCTTTATCTTTCTTTAGAGAAATTGAAGTTGTAGTTAACCACCCTCCCCTCCAAAATATCAGGACCGGATGGAATTACTGATGAATTCTATCACACATTTAGGAAGAAATAATGCCAATCCTTCAAAGATTCTTCTGGAAAACAGAAAAGGGGGAACACTTATTTTATGAGAACAGCATTATTGTGATAACAAAACCAGGGAAAAACTTTAAACAAACAAACTTCACATTGATACCTCTCATCATCTCATTTGAAAATCAATTTGTATTGACAGACTGAAAAAATGCAATAAATGAAGATAAAGCACTTGATAAAATTGAACACCCTTCATGTTAAAAACTTTGTATGAACTAGAAATAGCAGGGGCCTTCCTCAATCTGATAACCACTGTCTATGAAAACCCTTACAGCAAACATCATAATGGTAGGAAATGGAATGCCTTTCTGCTAAGACCAAGAAAAATAAAAGGTGTTTGCTTTCACCACAATAAGATACTGGAGGTACTAGCCAGAGTGGTAAAACAAAACCAAAAACAAAAAAGAAAAGAAATAATGGAAAGGAAAATGCAATACTGTCTATTCACAGTTGACATAATTGTGAGGAAATCTCAAGAAATTTATAAAAAGCTTGCAGGATACAAGGTGGTATGCAAAAGTGAAACCAGTCATATTCTACTCACCAACAAGAAACAATTATAAAAATGAAATTTTAAAAATAATACTGTTACAATAGTTTAAAAAAACATGACATACTTAGGGATAAGGTTAACAAAGTACCTACAAGATTTATATACTGAAAACTACAAAACATTGCTGAGAGAAATTAAGTATCACTTAAATAAGTATAAATGTGTACCAGGTTCAGAATATTCAATGTTAGTAAGATGACAGATTCCCCCAAAAAACAACAGTTCCAATTAAAATTCTGGTATTCTTCTTTGCAGAATTTGACAAATTGGCTTTAAAATATACATATATGTATGTGTGTATATGTATACACACACACACATTTATGGAAATACAAGGGACAGAAGAGCCAAAACAATTTTAAAAAATAAGAATGGAGTTGCAGGAAATACACTACCTGATACCAAGACTTACTATAAAGCTACGGTATTGAAAACTGTGTAGATTACTGGGGTGCCTGGGTGGCTCAGTCATTAAGCGTCTACCTTCTGCTCAGGTCATGATCCCAGGGTCCTGGGATCAAGCCCCGCATCGGGCTCCCTGCTCCACAGGAAGCCTGCTTCTCCCTCTCCCACTCCCCCTACTTATGTTCCCTCCCTCGCTGTGTCTCTCTCTGTCAAATAAATAAAATCTTTAAAAAAAAAATGAAAACTGTGTAGATTACTAAAACAGAAGACAGTAAAGAAATAGACCTACACATAAGTGGTGAATTCGTTTTTTACAGTAGTGCAAAGATAACTCTATAGGAAAAGAATAATTTTTTCATTTTTAGTAGGAGAAAATTGGATATCTATTTGCAAAAAAAAAATGAACCTCAACCCTCTCCTTACATCATATATTAAAATTAATTCAAAATGGACCATCGACTTAAACATATAGTCTATAACTAAAGCATATCTGAAACAAAATATAAAAATCTCTGACACTTTTTGTAAAGCAAAGATTTCTTATCCAGGACACAGGACAAATTGTAAAAGAAAAAGTAAATTGGTCATCAAAACTGAAAACTCTGTTCTTCAAAAGATAATGCTACAGACCGCCCCCACCGCCCCGCCCCCGGCGGCGGCCTGGGTCTGGTAGGCGGTGGGGTCGGCTCCGCGCGGACCGTGATGGAGCCGCACATCCTAGAGCACCGGGTGCGGGTGCTGAGCCTCGCCCGCCCACGTCTCTGGCTCTACACCCACCCGCTCATCAAGCTACTCTTCCTGCCCCGCCGCAGCCGGTGCAAGTTCTTCAGCCTGACGGAGACCCCCGAGGATTACACGCTCATGGTGGACGAGGAGGGCTTCAAAGAGCTACCCCCATCTGAGTTCCTTCAAGTGGCTCAGGCCACGTGGTTGGTGCTGAACGTGTCATCCCACAGCGGTGCAGCAGTGCAGGCTTGCTGGGGTCACCAAAATTGCCCGCTCAGTCATTGCGCCGTTGGCGGAGCACCGTGTGTCTGTGCTGATGCTGTCCACTTACCAGACGGACTTCATGCTGGTGCGGGAACAGGACCTGTCCGTGGTGATCCACACACTATCCCAGGAGTTCGACATTTACTGAGAAGTGGGCGGGGAGCCTGTGCCTATTGCCAGGGATGATTCCAGCAATGGCTTTCCCCGTTCTCAGCATGGGCCCAGCCCCACCGTGCATCCCATCCAGAGC